AACCTCCATACTAGAAAAGTTACAGAGCCCACATTTAAGACCTCCACTCAATCATCAATTGATTTTAGTTGTCCACAGATAAGGCCTAAATACCACATATATTACAAGTGACTTCAAATCATATTATATTGCAGTTAACCTCTCAAATCCTATTATTATTCACAATTTATCAAACAAGATCAAAACAAAACTAAAGATCTCGTAAGAACAACATAAAAAATATCAGTTGAACCTCTTTCCGCGAGTTCACAGTCATTTTGGCACAATCTGGAGCATGGCCACATCCATCTCATCATCTCTCAATCTGCCCCCCATGTATCCTGACACCCTGTAATCACCATGGCAACATCCGTCACCCCTGACTGCCAGATACATGACCCCAGGGTCACAATAAACTTGGTGCCAATAGATTTACAGCAACGGCTCCTCCCTCTGCATGTGCACAGGGCCGGCCTTGCTAACTATGGAGATGGATCTTCAGATTAACTGGGTACCACGCGGGGCTATATCAGGGACAGCTCATTGAACAAATCACCTCCGACATCAACATACAAAACTATTGCACTGTGGCGGTCAACAAATCATAAACTTAGGTCAAGTAATTGTCATTGACAGTTTAAATCCTGCTTTATCTTATACACACGGGTTATGAGTCACCAGTCGCCTGTAAAATTTTGCTGGTCATGTATGTAATTGCAATGTGACCTTGATTTTTATCAGAAATGTCAATGATTTTATATTATTACAATGCGACATTAAACATAATATACTATGTCTTATGTGACATGTATTGATCAATAAAATACTTTTTAAAAATCTGTCAAGAAATATAAGTGTGGTGGACTTTGCTTTTTAACTCTGCAGATTTGTTGAGCTGGTTGATGGTTAATTTCTCTGTAATTAATGGTCCTATCCACAAAGTTCAATATTTTCTCAATAATCATAAATAAGCGAAAGAGAAATTTTGCAGTGAGTTGAAAGGGCTTTAAATCGTAAGATTAATTAGGCAGGTTTGTGGAGGTAGTCCCAACAAATAACGAATATTTACGTTTTTAATATGTCTTCCAAAAACAGTTAATCTCCCATAGAATTATACACTCCCATGCCCTCCTTCTGATAGGACATCATCAAATTCTAGAACGTGAACACAATCTATTAAGGCCTCATTAAAACATCAAAAAAATGCCAGTTTTACTTAAGATAAAAGCAGACTCGGTTTCATAGAGTTAACATCTAAATATTTCATCATTCATCCTTCCAGCTTCCTTATCTCCAACCCCCTGATACTTTAGATCAAAATATGACTGAGATACGAGAGATAAGAGCTCAAACAGTCTGATAAATATCACCTCTCAGAATCCTGTTGTTGAATTTTGCTGCATTTGTTTGAGCAGGTACAGATCGGGGCCAGCAGCAGACAGTGTGGTGTGTATGGAAGCAGGTGCTGGTGGAGTGCAGTAGTGGTGGAGATGGATGGGAGCGGCACAGCACTGTAATCCAAGGCAGCCAGGTAAATATAGACTGCTCTGGGCTGGGCTGTTTAACCTTGGTTCATCCTACCTCTTCTTTTCTCAAAGGGGGTAAAATGTCAAAACACCAGACTAAGAGTAGGGCTGTGCCATTAGTCAATGATAGGCTTAGGTACACTATGTAACTTTTCTGGTGGAGAGCCCGCCACCTTCTTTTTCATGGAGATTTTATTGCGTTGCCTGATTCCACAATATGACATTCAACGGATTGAATGTTGTAACAATACTAAAATTTCTACTCTAATTTTGAATAGAAAAGTATAGATTAAAAATACACTGATATTCAACACCGATTCTGATGTCACGATGATAATTTAAAACACTCTTTATTTAGACCACAGTATGAAGTGTAATTTTTCACATTAAATCATAATAATTTCTTTTCTATTACCATGTGGCCTTATAGCTGTGTAATCCCTCAATTGTCCAGGTAAGGTTCCATAGTGGTCCATCCATGGGTGTATACTCGTCTAAGTGCTCTTATACTTGTTCTGATCTTGGAACATTTCAGGCAAAGCAATAAAATCTCCATGGTGATGGACAAGCCACTGAAAAAGATACATAGTGGGTCTATAGCCAATCCTCTGTCAGTAAAAGCTTGAGGTTTGGAGTTCAGACTATACATAGTAATATTGTTTGTAACATCACTGTGGTAATCTTAGTTTTATTGACAAATCTTTCCTACATATGCAAATGGAATTTAAAAAGAGGGACAATACTGAGCTCATCATCTCTATCCTTTAAATGCATTGAGTGCTTTTTCCTTGACATGTCACTGAACAGAAAACCCATATATTCAATTATTAATAATGAGATTTGAATGAACATGGCTTCTCCATTCTTTACTGCATATGGAAGGTCATAGTGGGAAAGAGTTTATCATCTTACCAGCCCATTGAAGCTTATATTTATGAGCTCTGTAGTCACATTTCATTGGAGCCCTCTAGTTAGGGCTGGGCAATATGACAAATAAATGAATTGCGATTTTTGTCTGAGTATTGATCTTGGTTTTATTTTATCTCATTAAAATCAAGTGGGTTTTAATGTTGAGTTCTTGATGATAAACTATATAGAATTTTAATCCATCATATCTAGGGATGTCAAAAGTATTAAAAAAAATCGCATACTAATTGATACTAAAATTAGTATTGAAACTAGATTCTCGTTTAAGTAAGTATCAATACTGGAAACAAATATTTATAAAAATTGACCTTTCCTGGACAGTTTCATCTTGAGTTTTTTCAGAACTAGTGTAAGACCACATGTTGTAATAAACAAATATTACTCTGTGTTGAGAATTCAATAAAGTCTAAAAAAAAATTTTTGTTTGTTTGTTTGTTTGTTTATTAAATTAGTCTATTCTATTCTAGTATCAAACTTTATTTTGACATTTTGGTATTGTGACAACAACACTAGTCAGATTAAACACAAAAATAGTCCAGCTTCTGATCCAAACCACATGCTTTTACTGAGAAAGGATTGACTGTAGACCTCTCCATTAAAATGACAATCTGAAATGATTAGATCTTGATTTGAATAAAGATTTATTAATTGCTCAGCCCTACTCGTAATAAAACTGAATATTGCAGTAAATGGCTAATATTCCCAAAGCAGCTTGATTGTAACTAGTTCTATCTGTATTTTGTCAACCAATCAGCCTATTGCTGTCATTATCAGTCTAAAGCTTACTACATTGTGCACTGAATAAGCACTTGTTACTAGACTGTACAGTACAGAATGGCAAACAGAAAGAGTCAAAGAAGGGGCTTTTGTCTTGGCTAATTGGGGTTGGGTATCCACTTGATGACGTAAGTGGAATAGATACCCTCAAGCCCTCTACACACTGGAACGTATACGCACACATAATATTCAATCAGTAGGACCAATGTGCAAAGCCATTATAAGAACTGGCCTGAGGAAAAACCTGTATTATCAGAAAGATTACCCACAATTATGCTATGATTATGATCTATGATTACTACAAAAATATATATAAATACTATACAACATAATTTTTGTGAATAAATAGTGACAAGTACAAGTGTTATGTAATTAAGTGGTCATTAGCAATTCATGGAAGCATTAACATAAAAAATTGGTGTACACATCTTGCATGCACATTCCATTCCAGCTATCTATTAAATACCTTCAGAAGCATCTAGGCCACAGCATAGGAGTGAAAATGTACCAGGGATCCCCATATACACAAGGCCATACATACAGTCTAAACCTCAGACTTTGCAATTCTGTGGCATGGAGCTTATTCAGCAGAACGAGCAGTGTGTTCCAGGGCCCATTCTAAAACAGCATCACTATCCTTTCATCATATGATATGATCTCAGCTGGTACAGAAGCAGTCAGTGACCTCTGAGTAGGAAGACAGATGGATCATGCTGCTTCAGAGCAAAACTTAAAATAATACAAACAGTAATTACACTGAAACTATGTACTCTGTATCTCCTTTTGCTTTCTGTCTCTACAACTTGCTTAGTTTCTCAATTCTGTTTGCACCAAAAGAAACACATTCGTGTTTGTAGCAGAAGATCATGGCAATCCTACAAATCTGATTAGAGACTAGCTAAATTGCAAGTAAACTGAAATAATATGTGAAAAAAATAAAAGAACGGATCCTGTTTTAAATCCATCCTCCATTATGAGGAGATCTAAAAGCCAGTCAAGCCTTGTACACATTAAATATGCATGCCTTTTAAAACACTGATGATTCTCGCAGTCCTCTTTCATACCAGTTGCAGGTGAGATCAACATTAATCACAATTCATGCATTCACCAACACCATCTGATGCTATTATCATAAATCATGTCACTGGCTGCATGCAATGGTGCAAGACAGCACCAGCACAAGCCAATAAAACGTGCTCCAAAGGCACCGTTCAAGTGCAGAGGAAGGGAGGGAGCAGCAGAAGGCTCACAGAGAACTCTCACGTCTGCCTCCTCTTCACCTTTGTATTCTTATTAAAAGGGCAATTACAGGCATCACTCACTAAAAATGTGATTGTGCACTGACAAATGCAACCCCTTGATCTTCCTCCATTTTGCATCTCACAATGAAAATAATGGAAGTACACACCAGATCTGAGGCACAGCTTGGTGGGGAAAGCTAAAGAGGCATAACATGTTCATGACAAAGTCGAGATAAAATATATGTAATAGCCATAGGAAAGAGTTGGTCACATAAATCTACAATGTAGCAACATGTTCATTATAGTAAGGGCATTATCAACCCCTTTGGCGTGTCTTCATTGATATTATATTCAATATGTCTTTCCCCAAGCCACCTGTACAAGAAAATGTGGGTTGGAATGTGAGCCCCACACGGCAGCTGAGACCACAAGAAGCGTGTAATTAAAGCTGTCATTTGCATCTCCCTACCACTGCATACAGTAAGAACGAGAGCAGCATAGGAAGAGACCGCAGGTGGAGGGATGTCTCTGGAGACACACTCAGCCATACCTTGCGTCTACGGTCCCTGGATCGATTCCTCTTTTTGATCTTCTCCTCCTCCTTCTCCCTCTGCTCCTGGGCGGCGGCCTCTGCGAGGTCCTTGGTCTTGCGGAGCTGCTTGGCGGCTTGCGCCATGGTGCCGCTCTGGTGGTGCTTGTGCTGCTGTCAGCGTGGCTCCAGTCTCCTGTGATGTGGGCCCTGTTTGCTCTTCCCGTGGCCCTCTCCCTGGAGCCCCTTACTCCCTCTCCTCTGACAGCCAGCACCGCATGTGCTTCAGAGGCAGGGAGCAGAGAGAGAGCGAGGGAGAGAGGACAGAGATGCTACAGCCAGATAGCCTCCAGGACCACAAACAAAGATGCTACAGCTAGTGGTGGGGCTGGTGCTGCTTGTGCCGCGGCTGCTACGCGTACAGTCAGCTTGCACTGCGCTGAATTGGCTCCCCTCCCCCTTCTCTGTATCCTACCTTCCTCCGCTTGTTCCTCTCTCCTCCCTCCTTCCCTCTGCCTGCACAGAGCAGTCACGCAGTGTGCTCATGACGATGGGAATTTGCTGCAGAGCTCATTCACCAATCTGTTTTACATGTCTCTTTTTCTTATAATAGATTTGCTTTGTATTGTTTAAACAATAACTGTACCTTACATAACTCATTTATGAAAAAATAGGGCAACAGCAGTCTTCCAAATATCACGTCTTCCCTTCTTCTGGCCATGGCACCTCCCTCCTGAAAACAAATGAGGAGACAGATCAGTGAGTGAGCTTGTACAACAGATATGTGTTTCCTCATTCTTCTGTGAAGCAGTGCCAGAGGTTCTCATCATCTCTGACAGAAAACAATCAGATGGGACAGTGTGGTACACATACATATGAGTTTGTGCCATGAACAATGTGCACAATACTACATACACATTTTAACATTAATATACAAGTTTCTCACTGAGATTCAGAATGTTATTTTCAAAGGGTTTCTGGTTTCAGCATGAAGTCTCAGTCAATCCAATTAAACGATGGTACAAGATATATTAATTCCTTCCAGGCCACATTTCATTTCATAGACGTGAAAAGAAAAAATATGATTAAATATTACTGTGGATTCATAAAACTACAATTTTCACAATACACATAATTATGTGGGGGAACGCATCCAAAAATGTGTCTGGGTTCACAAGAGCGTTCAAACTAGCGTGTCTTGCGAGCTAGAGAAAAATATTGCTTGTTGTGTCAGAGCACCATCTGGTGGACAATAAGATTACTGCTTCGTGAGTTTCAACCAACACCAAGCAATGGTTAAACAGTATTTGTCAAACAACATTCACCACTGAAAGGGCAATGAAAAGACACAGCTTATAGTTAACTAGAAATCGAATTAATTACTAACATCAGTAAAGTAAAATATTACATAATAAATGTAATGTGTTCAAATCTATGTATCTATTTTTTATTCAAATCTATCATATACAATCAGCATATCAACATGCCAATTGTTTGTGAGTGCATGAAATAAACAGGACTGACCAATACCATTGGTCTCAAGTGCAATCCTCTCTCTGATTCCTTCAAAAAAAGGCTCTGAGAAAACACACACACAAAACACAGCAAAAACAAAAATCACTTGCCATTGTCAGTTATACTTGTTATAATATATTTCTCAAAATTTAGTAATCTGCTTATGTACTTGTGTCTATGATTCCTTTACAAATTTCACAAGACAACACACCTGTGATATGGGTCCGGTCAAGCGGTAACGGAGGGAAACAGGGGCAGATTTTTTCCATTCAAATAGCTCTTATTCAGAAACTAGAGGGACTATTGAAATAAGTATGGTATTAGAATGTAGAAAAGAGCTAACACTCCAACAGGGTAAAGTTAAACCTGCGATATTCTTTCAAGTTGTTGACAAAAAATTTAAAAACTCATGTCGGCAACAGAGGAAATGAAATATGCAGCACTTTTTGGGCAATAAATACAAACAGCGATAACTACCGGTTCTCACTTACGTACATATCCTTAACAAACTGGTTTGAATATTTGTTTAATATAGTTTTCTACCATATGGTAAAAGATTAGGTTGAAAAACCTCTTACTTTTTGAGTAATGAGATTTTTTATTAAGAAAGGTCATGGTAACGGAGGGAAAATTGTGCAAGCAAGTAGAAGGTGCATGATTTTGCATAATTTGTCAGCTTTTTTCTTCATAATACTTTAATATTACTTCAAAATGAAAGGTAACTATTTCTATAAAATATGTCAGTCCTTCCAAGCTAATTTTTATCATTACATTTGTTTTGAAAAATCATGTACCTTCATCAACAGTTCAAAGATCGAATAACACAAGATATGATGAAATACATCAATTTATTTACATGATTTGCAGGTCTTTGAAATTTGGGAAATAATTTTTGTTCCATGTTACATACATGGTCTGTTTAAAACGTATGTAACTTTAGAACCAAAAATGGTACAGAAAAAAAGGTAAACAGTTTCATAAACTAGAGTACATATGCTATCTGTTGAATACATTTTTATATCAGATGCATTAACTTGAATTTTTGGCCTTGCTGTATATTTCTGCTTGACCGGGCCCATTTGTTGTTCCAACAATACAATTTCACTTACAGACCTTCTCCTGTAGATGTCAGCAAAAGTCTGGCAGATAAATTTGATATTAGTACAGAAACCCTGCACTAATACTATATTCAAGATATGATCATATTAGACTATCAGTAAAGTGTTTGCCAAATCAAATTAAAAATTGACAAACCTTACCCTCAAGTCAAAACTTTCAAAGTTGTGGGCAATTAACACGTCAGATAAATTATCCTAGGAACAGATGGCTAAATTTGTCTGAAAAATTGATTTATCTTGCACAGAAATGAATGACTAAAATCTCTTTATGTAATGGCATGCTGCAGATGGGCATATTTTCATTAGAAACCATTTATCATTGGAACTGTGTATGCTCAAATCGCTCTGAGGGCATTACAGCACTGGGGGGCGACAGTCTGTTGGCAGACTCCCAGAAATAATCACAGAGTCACTCCTGTGCAAGCCAAGATACCACTACTGCAGAGCAGCTTCCTGTCAGAAGAAGAATAATGCTAACATTCTCGCTTTGTCTAAAACACTGATGAGAGACTAGCTCACGCTGCACTTCTGTATCTCTTATTACACTGTCCTTTTCCACTGTCAGAACTGGTGATGAGATAATTACCACTAGGAAAAATGTTTAACAGCATCTCTCGACAGCTCACTAACCTGTTTGTGTTATCGACCTCTGCCATGGTCATGAATACAATAGTCTGCGCCAGTGCCTCACACCAGACACACTGGGCATCCCCAAACACTGTGTGTTTTTCCTGTGCTGCTGCCGGGAATCTGCTGACCTCTGGAGTTGGATTACCTGGCACGACCTGAAGGCACTGAAGAGCATTTGAGGACAAGACTTGTGATGCTCATCGACTACATGCTTTCCTTTAATACCACACTTACAATAGAATAAACATGTTTGCTTTGTAGAGGTCCAGCAAAACATTGCTCCATTAGGAAGTACAAGATGTGTATTGTCACAACAATGTTCATGAAGTCTGTTTTACTGGGATGTTTCACTTTGCTGTCATAATTATCTGGTCATTTAGACCTAGGGGACAGTGGCACTGTCACTCTATGTTAGAGATAATAAACTTTAATACATGTTTTAGATTAGCAATTAAGAAAGTGATTAATGTTAATATTGACTTCAAACGAAAATATTGAACCTGTATAGGGTGTCAGTGAAGTGAAGGTGATCATTTCTGAAATTAGTAAAAGAGAACCACTAGATCAAAGCATAAGAGCAGTTTTTTGAAGTGGGACCATCAAATGTGATATAAAAAGCATGCTCTCTGAAAACTGATTTTATTCCATTTGTTTTGATATAAAAAGTTCCCCTTTTGAGATTCATAAATATGTTTGCATTATGTTTGTAGGCCAAAGTCGTCCTGCTGTCCCATCGCCCACACTGCAGAGACAGGGGTACTGAGTGCTCAAAAGCAGGCGAGGGAGGGGGCACATTTTTGGAAACAGGAAAGTGAGCTGCACTGCAGCAACTGGGCGTTGGCTCCTAACGAAAGGAGACGAGCAAGGCAGAGAAACTAAAAGATCCGGTAAGACATGGAGGAGAGAAGAAAGGACATCAATATAACATAATATTGTATCTCTGATAACTTTGTTCTCAATGTTTTCTGTGAAATTTCAGCTCATGTGATTGTTACTCTTCACTTTTTATTATAAACGAACATGTATATATATATATATATATATATATATATATATATATATATATATATATATATATATATATATATATATATATATATATATATATATATATATATATATATATATATATAGGTCATAGAAAAAGCATACAAATAAAAATAAATACAATTCTCATTTTTATGGCGATATTTCACATATTTGATTAAGCATTGTCCTTTGAGATGCATCATCTTTGTTCTGTAAGCATTACCCTGTATTTGAGTTTAAAATTCACTGAACTGGGTGTTTCCATTCTCCTCTGTCCAATGGCCTCACTGGCCTGGGCATCTGATTGCTTATAGCTCTCTCTCATTCCAGGGGTCATCTAGTTCAACCCCCGTCTCCTTCAGTTCTGCACAATAACTATAAAAACTGTCCTGCTGATGTATTCTTTCGCCAATCTCAAATGAGCATAAAGGACTATTGATGTTAACATTATTTCTAAACCCAGAAGACTTTTTATTTTTTACTTTTTAAGTTCTACTATGAAGCCAAAAGTGTATACTGCTGTCTGTAATATCAATTAGTAATACTGGGAGTGCGACCAGTGTATAATTCATAGCTTGTACTTTGGCTAAGACTAACGGCCAAATAAGGACACAAGCGGCCAGCCAGTCATTATAGAAATTTGGATCCCAGCTCTGGTATATAGTCATAATGTGCAAGCCAGCAGCCCGGTTATCGCCTCAAGAAGGGCCATATAATGTTTACCGCTGTAAGCATTTCCAGTCTGATTGTCTTACCTGTTACTTTTCCCCTGTCCGTAAACCGGTAGTTTACCACCTGCTTTGTCACTTTCTCGTTGGTTTTCCTCCTCTCCTCTGCTTTGGCTGGTGAATTGCTGTGTGAGCAGGGAGGATATTTGCTGCAGCAGACGGGAGTAATTGATAATGCTGCTTTAGCTATCAGGAGGGCTGTGTTCACTTTTAGCCAAGAGAAGACCTGCAAGAAGAAGAATATGAAATTTTTTTATTGCAAAAGTATCGAGAGATGGCAGACTTAGTAGAAGAAATGTATGCCTACAATTCAAATACTTAACTGAATTGACTTTGCTGCATGGCTGACTACTACTACTAGTTAGGACTCCAAATTACAACAAGCTAATTAATGGTAGTAGACCTAATAGTTTCCATTTTGGAGGAAAGTGTTTTTCCACTTTGATGAAAACTTCTACAACTTCTTTACAAATCAGAACACTTGGCATTATTAAATTATGAGCAAGGGTCTCCCAGTAATAACAATGTAACATTGTTTGGAGTCAGCTTGCCTTTTTATATTTCCTTATTTTGGTTTCATATAGTAGCCTCCTCTACAAGCTACAAAGTATTAAACATATATATATTTTATATGTCCTATATTACGCTGTTTTCTGATCTATGTTATAATGTAGTTTCCTCATCAAAAACGTACCCAGAGTTGTGTCCACACACATTTAACACACAAACCTAGCATACATAGGTTTTTCTTTTAAACAGAAAACACTCTATTCCACCTTGTGATGTCATGTGGTAATAAAGGAAGCGCTTCACTTTGTTTTTAAACTCCAGACACATTCACTAGAATCATCTGGATGATTTTAGCCCAAAATTGCCAATCCCTACTGAAAGAAAGATAAAATGTAGCTGCTAACCTAATCACAAGGTGGAACAGACCATTTTGAGCTTTGGAGATGTAGACAGACTAATAATAAAGGGTTAAGCAATCGTGTAAAACAAACACAACTCCAGGTATTGTTTTGATGAGGTAACTTTAAAACATGTCTATAAAGATCACAAGTACATTTTTCGTAATTTTAAATAACTTTTAAACAACAGTTAGGCAAGATAATACTCAAGTTCAGTAACCTATATAAAATGGTTTTCCTCAGATGTAGCTCGGTTGTTTTGCAGTAATCACGTGTATTTGGTGGCTGCTAGCTAGCGCACGTTAGAGAAAGAAAAATACCAAACACGTGACAAAAAGTAAAATACTTTTATCTGAAATTACTTACGTCCTACGTGGGAGACGCAGACCTGAAGATAAGAAGGTAACCCACAGAAATGACACAAAATCGAAATCGAAAATATTTCACTTTTTTGGACTACAAGAAGATAATAACACGTTGAGCTAACTTCACTGACTGTAAGATCGTAGGAAATGTGAGCGCTCAACATTTTACTTGGTTAATACTAGCCTTAGCATGTTAATACAACAAATGATTCTATTAGCAAAGTTAAAACATATATCGTTGTACACTATTTAATTGTTATAATAGGCTAAACCTTGCTTGTTTTGACATAAATAACATAAATGAAAATACCTTCAGTATAATAATAATTAATTTACCCATCATGAGTTTTTGCACAAGGAAACATATTAGGGCTACTATGCACTGACCATAGTAGAGATTGAAATCCCAACTTCAAGACAATAATCAATATTTCCCTTTCCATCTCCAGTCCAGTCTAGACTCCAATGTAGATGTCCTTATTTACCCTGGACAGTTCCAGTTTTGAGCTCTGTGTCCCCTGTCCCCTCAGATTTATCCAAAACCACTGATTTGTCCCAGTTTTATACAAAAAATGTCCCTCGTGTCCCCATTTTTACCAATTTGATACCTGCCAACAGTAAAAAGATACATAAATTGTCATTTGTTTGGGTAAAATACAGAAAAGCTGCTTAAAAATGACCAAAACTGACAAAGAAAATGTGACTATACTGACTCACATGTTAGTCATGAATGGGCCGAATGCAGAGCAGTTTTCGTTATTTATGCATTTGTTTCAAAGTTTTATTATAAACAACCACCACAAACTGGGAGTGTCCTAATTTTTTATTTTGAAAATCTGGTCACCCTACACAAATGATGTCTGGTATGGTGGAGTATGATGTAAAAATGTGGTTTCTTTCTACAGTGATTTGTGTAATTCACTCTCACACAAGGTTGACAACATCAGCGACACAGGAGAGGGTAATTTCAAACACTAGACACCTGATATGATGGGCCCAACGTAAAACAATACTGTAAAACCAAGCAAATCTGGGGGTTTGCGTCTATTTTCAGCACCGGCACCATCAATGAACAGCAAAGGCCTATGAGTTATCTCAGGGCCGTTTGAAAAAGTGAGTTTTTCAAATATATTCTAAATTTCATTTCAATACATACCCTCCACTCTCTGATTATTAACTGATAAAAGCCACAATATATAACTTTTTAGTCCAAAACTAGACTAAAATAGAAGCATTTTCTGTCATTTTTGTTGTTTTTATTGCAATGAAAAGTGTAGATAAACACAGATCCTTCCTTGACTTGCATTTCCACATATCTGACTAGCCTATGAGTGGGCTGGGGGGATGGCTCTTTTTGCTTGTTTTCATGGAAATGTTGTTTCTTTGGTTATAATTTTCCACCGTAGGCCTATGGCACAAGACTTATCTATCTCCTTGTATGTATGTATAATTATAACTTTCTATTTCTGTGGAATCATGCAGGAGAGGGACATGCCACCTTCAAAAAGTTACGTACCATACCTGTAAATAAAAGATAATAATTAAGGAAAAAGGGAAGTACGCAGGCCTATGTAAAGGGTAAAACATATTAGCACAATAGAAAAATAATTACTTGTTTGTCAGTGATCTGTTGTTCAGTGCGCTACATTAGACCAACCTTTGAAAATTTGGTTGCTTATGTGAGATATAGTTGGTGCAGTGAAATGCAGAGTTTCTGACTGCACCAGACCTGCTTGTGCGCTGAAATACTTTTAAATATTGATGAGGTCGCTGGCTAAACCCTGGAACGGAGCGGCCTTGGGGTGAGCATTATCGTGAATACATTTAAAGGGGGAGAGGGGGTATAGGTATGTTCGATGTGTCCTTCTTTACCTTCCTGCATATTATTGTCAGTATTATGCAATCATTTGGATAGGGTTATTTTTAAACACAATTCAGTGACCATGTGACCAAATATGACACAGCAAAATTAAATAAAAAACTATAAAATAGTGATATAACTCAACACGTAAACCATGTAGGGTTGTCAAAAGTATCTAAAATCAGATACTAATCAATATTAAAAACTTTATCGAAAATAGATTCTAAATTGAACAAGTATCGATACTGGAAATAGCCTACAAACATGACAAAATTTTACTTTTTTCAAACAGTTTTAGAGTAATCTTGAACTTTATCAGCATCAGTGTAGAACCACATGGTAACTTAAAATGAACACATTCTACTGTCTTAAGTGTTTTTTTTATTGTGGTATCGCAATTGATATTGAGTATCAAGTCAAGTTTCCTTTGTATCCAAATTTAGTTTGAAATTTTAGTATCGTGACAACACTAGTACCATGAAAAAAATGAGAACCAAACCAAGTATACATCAAATTTAGAGCTAAGATCAAACCAGGCCCAATCTGTCATAAGTGCCAATGGATTCAAGGGACTAAACTACATTTGTCTATATTCTATAGTCTGTATTCTATATTCTATATTTAAACCTGTAACTTTTAAACTAACGTGCAACGTTTACCTCTTTTTGCAGGCAGCTGTTTACCAGTTAGCAACATCTCTCCTCAGCTTGTGTCAGACTCATACAATATGCAGTGTTCCAGCTTAGTCATTGCCATTCAGCGGTCAGGCTTGCGTGACTTTGTGTTCTATGACCCAATCTGAAGGACAGCCTACTCAACTGCAGTCTTCAGCACCGCTACTACAAATATATAGCAGGTATTGTACTGTAAGTAAACCTATATGGCCCGCTAAACCTGACTGTACAAAAGTTATCTGAACTTGCTTTGGGGTTAGATTTAGGTATGACTTGATTGTGGTATCTTATGGTGTGTGTGTGTATGTGTGTGTGTTTGTGTGTATGTGTGTGTGTGTGTGTATATATATATATATATATATATATATATATATATATATATATATATATATATATATATATATATATATAGTGCAGACAGCATGCACAGATATATATATATATATATATATATATATATATATATATATATATATATATATATATATAATCTGTGCATGCTGTCTGCACTGAAAAAAATTATGTCTTTTATGTCTTAAAGGTGCACTTTGTATATGTTCTGGTAGAGGCTTAATGTACATCTTGTCTCCATGGAGAAGTTATAGCTTTTTAGGACTATTCCCCAGTATGGCATACACATTAACTGTATTACATTTAAAGGTCCTATATTAAACACAAAAGGGCTGAATAACAGTTATTTTTGTTAGGGTTAAGTTTATGTTGTCTGCATTGAAATAGGGTATAAGGCAAAGGATCATGGTCTGTCTATGCTCTTCCCTCTGTTTTTTAGGTGTTTCTACAATAAAATGGTGCATTCAAGCAAAGGATCTTGCTGTTCAATATATTGTGTCCATGAGACATTTGACAATACAGTATCACAAGATTTTTTTGTTGTTGCATCCCTAGTAAAACTACAGCACAAAGCTTTCCACAGTTCTACAATAAAGCAGTACCTCTCAGGTCCTTATTATTTTAAGTTAGACAGTGGGCTCATTAAGAAGCCCAGGGGTGCAGCTGCTATAATCAACTTCCTCTAGTGAAGTCTGGATGCCACCGAAGCATAGAGCAAAGTGGAATTGTGTTGCAATACTTCTGTGCACATTGTATATTGAGGTGATTGGAGAAGGAGGGGTCTGCAGATGATTTTCCATGTGAAGAAGAGGCTTACTTCACTGGGAGAATAACTAAGCACAAAGCTGACGCAAGACTTCCACAATAGTGCGTCAGTTGCATAAGGGGAGCACCTAGCTGTCTAAATGTTGATTCACAAGGTTGGATTGGGGGCAGGACTATATAGAAGAGAAAATGTGTGAATGTGCAGTTAATGTCGCAGTTTTTGGAGTATAGATTGGTGATTGGCAGAGCTCCAAGGATAGAAAATGATTCTTTTAGTAATACTGATAGATAGCCTAATGTTTTAAATGTGCTCTATGCAACTTTTCTCTTTCTGCTTTTCTCCAGGCAGATGTTACAGGAATATTCCACAGTGAGGCATGAAACGTATCTATCTCATCAGATCTTTGGCGGGATGACACAGCACTCTGCAGGAATGTATGTCTTTTTAAGCCATAAAAACATCTAGATGAATAAATGCAAGATAATGCCATACAGTGAAGCATTCCAGGCAAAGCATCTTCACAGAAACAGGAGGTGGCATAGCGACCATCAGAAAAGTTACACAGTGCTCCTTTAATGAAGGGCTGGTTATTTCAAATTTAATAGAATTATAATGAATGTGATTCTTGCAATTTAAGAACACATTGCGAAGTTGGAAACGTGTGCTTTGAGGTTAGAGAGTTTGACAGTGGTATGATAATCTATCTTTACAGCTGCATTGTGTAACTTTTCTGGTAGAGGACCTGTCAAATGCTTTTCTTCATGGAGATGCTATTGCTTTGTTTGGAATGTTTCACAGTATGGCATTAAACCCTTCTATCTAAATCTATATACCAGACCAAGTTACAGGACAGAATGCTGCCTGTTTTTCTAGGTATTTTTGAGCTATAAAAACATGCATCATTATATAAATGTAAGGTAAGTCCATTTAATGTCACTCTGGAACATTCCAGACAGAGCAGTAACATAACCAGTGACAGGCCCTCAGCCAAAAAGTTGCATAGTGCACCTTTAAATGGTCCAAAGAATCCTGCATATTTAGTCTCTGTTTCTTAAGTGCTTAAAACTCTGCAACCAAGTGATGTCATGAGGTGCCTTCAAAGACATTAAGATGAGACTCTTTATTACACAGGATTAATATACCTCGTCTAGCAGAAGGGTTTTAAAAAAATAATGAGTCAGTGGTGCTGAAACACTGTTATGGTTAACAAAGTTGCATATTTTAAAAAGTGAGAATTAGAAAAACTAAAACCAACAAACTCTATCATTTTTTTTTTTTTTTTTTTTTCATTTATTTTACTTATTTCCATGATTATTCACACTAACTTCTCACCGAAGGCATCAAAACAATGAATGGACACATATGGATGCAGCAAAAAAAAAATACTAAGAATAACTCAAAACTTGTTTTAGATTTAAAAATGTAAAAATATTCACCCTTTGCTTTGAACCGTGCTTTGCACTGTTGGTATTTCTTGGCCTTGACGCAGCACAACTGTAAAGGGAGACTGAATCGAGAAGCTCATTGGCTCAAGGCCAAAGGTTTGCAAGAGCTGTCAACAATGCAAAGAGAGGCTACTTTGAGGATTTGAATATAAAGAAAATATTTCATTTTCATTCAGTTTTTAACCAATTTTGTTCTTTGCTACATAATTCCATATATTTTTCACAATATATTTGATGCTTTCTGTGTGTATATTTAGCTAGAAAATAGTAAACATAAAGGAAAACAAAAAAAACAAAAAAAACAATGAACAATGAGGATATCCCCAAAATTTTGACTAGTAGTGTGTTATTTGAAATTTACCATTTATGTGTTAAATTTGATTCAAATATATAGTAAATAGATTTAACAAACTGTTTTAGAACTATGAACATTTACTCTTAGATTTAACAAAGCACTTAAATGAATTAAATCATACAAATAAAAATAAAGAAAATTGTATTTGCAAGTCACATTATCCATACTAGTATATAAGGTCAGAACATGCTACAAAACCAGGTGCAGCTTTGCAGCTCATTCCATTAGTAAGCACACAATGAGCGACTAATACATTGAGGTCCCAAAGGCGCAACACAAGGTCAGTGCTGATGAATGCACATACAGTGACAGTATGGGACAATAACACAAACATCTCCTGGATATGGTCCCACTCAGATGATAACATACCATCTCAGAATACTAAAGAGCAGGTCTGAGTCACCAGCAGCCCACACAGAGACCATTACCTTCTGTGCAAATATATCCAGCCTTCCATTACCTCCAGCCATTCTCAATACCACGCTAACTGTACAGTGATAGCAGGGAGAGCAAATAGAAACAGGTTTAGTAAGCCTCTTAGAGTAGAGAGGTGATCCAAAAATACTTTCAAATGCATTGGGTAAACGTCATTAGCATGGATGAGCATAAGTTTAAAACTATTGCAAAGAGCTGCTGTATAAACCAATTAGGCTATGAATCTTTAAAGGTCCTATAAAGCCCAGAATTGACTCTTGTGAGCTTTTAGCTGTGTTAAACTGTTGTTACCTCATCATGATTCATTCACACATGTTTGAGTAACCCTTTATTATTAGTCTGTCTACGTCTCCAAATCTCAAAATGCTCTGTACCACTTTGTGAAGCTGTAGTTTTCAAGTTAACAGCTACCTTTTTCCTTTTGTTCAGCAGAGATAGGTAATCCTGGGACTGAAATTATCCAAATGATTCTAGTGAAGTTGTATAGAGTTTAAAAACACAGTGAAGCCCATCCTGTGTTACCACATGACAGCGTTTTTCGCTTAAAAGAAGAACTCAGCCTAAAAATGCAGGGTTTGTGTTAAATATATGTAAATGAAACAAAACAAAACTCTAGCTATGTTTTTGATGAGGAAACAACATTTTAGAATAGATCAGAAAATAGCGTCATATGGGCCCTTTAACTGACTATATTAGGCATTTTTTAAACCTCAGCATTGCTTCATTTTCAGACTTCAAATAATGTATAATTGTTGTATTTTTGTAATTTAATGAGCTGCCTGCAGACAACAGATGGCATCTCTGGCATATTTATGCTTTAATTACAGATGTTCATTAATATGCAAATAAATACACAAACAAATAAAAGCAATTTAAGTATGAAAACTAAATTGCATGTATATTAATTAAAGCTAAAATCAAGAGCTGTGAGATGTAAGCTGGAGATGCTTTGTAGAGCTTTCCAATTCAAGAGCTGAAATGATCGGAATAGCTGATAGTGATGTCTGGAAACAAGAAGAAGCTCTCCCTTCGTGACATCAGCTGGTGGAACAAAGCATTTAGAGCTAATGGGATAAAATAACTTTGCAATGCTGCTTGTGGATTTTGGCCCATTCAGTATGTGCTTACTGCGTGTTGATTTATTTACTCTGCTCTCTAAATTGAGCCTTAATTGTAAGCATAAGATTATCTCTTTTGCACAAGATAATTACACACGATAATTATGCAATTACCTTTAGAAGTACTATAATGGTTATAAAAAGACTCTAGCATTTGAGTGAAAACTTACCAAAATACTTATGTGACGTGGTTAGTTTCTATTGAAAGAGGATTTTGCTATACAGCATATTACGCTATTTCCTGATCTATGTTTTAATGTTGCTTCCTCATCAAAACACACCTGAACTTGTGTTTTGTTTCATACACACATGTTTAACACACAAATCTTCCATAATTTGGCTGAGTTCTTCTCTCAAATGGAAAATACTACATACTGTACACTTTCAATAGAATAATTTGGATAATTTCAGCCCCGAAAATGCCCATCTCTACTGAACAAAAGGTAAAAGGGTCTGCTAACCTTAAAACTACTGCTTCATGACACCACAAGGTGGAACAAAGCATGTAGACAGACTAATAATAAAGGATTACTCAAACACATGAATGAAACAAAACACAACTGTATGTTTTTGATGAGGTAACAACATTCTTACATG